TCCAGAAGCTCAGGTGGACAAGGACATCCCTGTGCCAAACACTACAGCCCCTTGTCCAGAAGCTCAGGTGGACAAGGACATCCCTGTGCCAAACACTACAGTCCCTTGTCTAGAAGCTCAGGTGGACAAGGACATCAGGCAAAATTAAAGGCAGTGTCAATGGGAGTGTAGCTCAGACAAGATAGCTTGCACAGGGCTTTAACTCCAGCAACTGCAGGATCAGACAGCTCTGGCTATAAAGTCTTCATGCCCTGGGAGCAGGGAAGAGAGAGCAGTGATGGCTTCTAGAAGCTGGCAACCAAATTCTGTAAACAAGTTGAAGGACCTTCTAGTCAATGACACAAACTTGGACTCTGTAGAGAGCAGAAGGTACAAAGGCAAATGACAGAACTTCAGTACATACTAGATCCTAAGGACTGTTCTAGGTACTTAGGAGATTCTATGATCCTCTTGATACTGTAGGAAGGATGGACCTTCAGAACAGATTTGATGTCACACCCCACACCCATAAAATTGTATCTTACCAAATGTCACAGACAATGTATAAAAACTTTTTTTTTTCAAGAGCGCTGAAGATATACAATACACACAACTGGAGGTTTTTACATCATTCATAGTAGAGGTTCGTTAGGCCTTAATACGCCCCACTCAGCCCGTGATCCTGCTGCAGAACGGGCATCACATTCTCAGACCACTGCTTGCAACAGGCATGCCACAGAAGATGGCCATGTCATGGAAAACCCACTAGTGGCACACAGTAGAGTGGTACCTAGCAATCTGCCAGCCCCAGACAGCAGGTTTGGGTCCCTGATGTTTAAGCCATGGCCAACAAAAGCAATCCACAGTGAGGAGAGACCTGGTTCCTTACCCTTCTATAGTCAGCCCAGGCTTCCTGAGAAGTCTCTGGAGGGAGCCAATGCTAGGAGCACTGAAGAGGCAGAAGGCAGTGTCTACAAAAGCCCATGACTGCAGTACTTCCTGCTGAGCTGATACCCCATCTGCACTAATAAGGTGAGCTTTCCCTGGGACAGCTCTAGAGCTTAGCTGGGCATAGTAAACACAAAATACTAAACAAGTGGGGCTACACAGAGAAGCCCAGTCTCAAACAAAATGAAAATACCTAGTCATGTTACACAGGTAAAATACTCCTTTATCACATACAGAACACACTGAAATACAGCATCCCCTCTGAACATAGAACAGCAGGCCCTGGCTTTCTGTAAGCTCCCAACAGAACATAGACCATGGCCTCGAAAAAGTTCCTCCTCCAGGTGGTGGTGGTACACACCTTTAATCCCAGCACTTGGGAGGCAGAGGCAGGTAGATCTCTGAGTTCAAGGCCAACCTGGTCTACAGAGAGAGTTCTGGAACAGCTAAGGCTGAGAGACATTCTCTCTCAAAAAACTAAAACAAAAAGACAGTTCCTTCTCTAGAAGGAAAAAGGGGGCCCGGGGGAGAGACAGAGACAGTGTACATGTAAAACCCGATTCCATAGGACTTAGCATCATTTGAAACTATACATCCCTTGCCTTACAGCCGGGGTTTGGTTTCTTTGGTCCAGTAGACCTAGTTCTGGGGATATGCACCACTCAGTCCACCTCCATCTTCTTACTCTGCAGAGAATCGATGAAGGCTTGCCATTCCGTTGGGTAAAAGCGTTTATAGACATTGATCTTATTCCGAATCTGTTTTGGGGTGTCTTGATAGTAATTCTTCTCATCCCGGGCCATGGCCTATAAAGGAAGGACAACATGTGGAGGGCTATACAGGCAGAAGTTAAAATCCAAATCCTAGCTTTCTCTAAATTGAGTATGCCACTTCCAATCTCTCCCTGGGGTCCATCTTTCTCACCTCAAAAGCCATCAGAGAGCTAGAGAGTTGGTTCAGTTGTTAAAAGCACTGGCTGCTCTTAGAGAGGACCCACAACAGTTCACTGCAGCCTGTAACTCCAGTCCTAAGGGATCCAATACCCTCTTCTGACCCACACAGGTACCAGGCACACATGTAGCACACATACACATACATACAAGCAAAATACAAACATAAAAACATCTTTAAACAATGGGATTCCTTCATAGGCTTTTTCTTCTCTTGTTTCTATTCAGCTGCAGATCAGGCTGAGACAGTCCAGTGAGTTCCCCCCACAAGCCCGTGTTCTTCCTGGCAGGCAGAGCTCACCTTATAGTCCTCCCCGTGATTCTCCACCATGTACTGAACATAGTCGATGAGGTCCCGAGACAAGGTATTTTCTTTCTTCTCTGGGAGGCTGGCTTCTGCCTCCAGGTCTGGGGAAAATACAGCCAGGAAACGAGTAAGGCTTCCCATTTGCATTATTTGAGCTGCCCAAGCACCTATCCATCCAATCCCATGACACAAAAGTTGTACAGCAGCACTTTACCAAATCCAAAGCCAGAACTCACGTTTCAGGCCTTAGGATCCCAAAATCTGCCTCCTACCCATCAGCATAGCAACTCCTGAAAACCAATTCTCAGGTTGTGATTTAAAATGAAAAACACCACGCTTACCAGTTTTACTTAGTGCCAGGCCCCAGGGGCAGCAAGATGGAAAGTTGGATTCCCTTCCAGCTCCACTACCAACAGAAAGTCTCTTCTTGGTGTATTATGCCAGCATTTGAAATGGGAAGGTCTAAATTACTCAACACTAGGGCTATGGGGTTAGACCCAGGTACAGCATTGCTACATGTGAAGGGAGAGCCCTGACCATGGAGCCCATCACTGTTATACTTTTAAAACAGGTAGGAAGTACCAGCACTTAGGAGGCTAAAGTAAGAGGATCTCACGTCCATGGTTAAGCTCAGCTACATTACAAGACACTGTTCAAACACACAAAACACACAAAAGAAAAAGAAAAGCCAGACAGAATTTGAGTACAGCTCAGTAGCAGAGCATGCTTTCCTAGCATGAACAAGACCCTGAATTCAGTCTCTAGGACAGCAAGGAGAGTAAATGCTAGGCAAATGGGCAGAACGCAGACATGATCCGGCCAAAGCTGATCTGTGTGAGGAACTAAAATTTCTTACAGTCAAAGTCCGTGGTTAGACAGTCTCAGCTTTATAAAACCAAAGTCCAGGGGCTGGATTATATAGCTGTGTGAATATATGCACCCAACACACTTGTAGTTTTTTTCATGACAGGATTTTTCAGTGTAGCCCTGGCTGTCCTAGAACTCGCTCTGTAGACCAGGTTGTCCTCAAACACAAGAGATCTGCCTGCCTCTGACTCCTAAGTGCTTGGATTAAAGGTGTGTGCCACCACTGCCTGGCCAGAACTGCACATTTAAAAAGGGCCAGGAAGGTAAATTTTATGTGATTCTTTTAGTTACAATTTAAATCTAAAATAAATGAATAAGTAAATAAATAAATCTTTCAGGGCATGGTGGCATGTGCCTTTAATACCAGAATTTAAGAGACAGAGACAGGTAGATCTTTGTGAGTTCAAGGACAGCCAGGACAACGTAGACTATGTCTAGAAAAATCAAAAACAAACAAAAACAAACACAATTACCACCTTAAGTATATGTGACTTTGTATATATACAGAAGGGTGTAGGAATTCTTTTCTCCCCACATTGAACCATAGAAAATTCTAATGTGAATCAGCCAAATACAGGACTCAAATAATTTTATATCAGGAGATGTGAAAAAATAAGCCAGGCAGTGGTGGCACATGCCTTTAATCCCAGCACTTGGGAGGCAGAGGCAGGTGGATTTCTGAGTTCAAGGCCAGCCTGGTCTACAGAGTGAGTTCCAGGACAGCCAGGGCTATACAGAGAAACTCTGTCTCGAAAAACCAATAAAAAGAAAAAAAAAAAAGAAAATCACCTGAATGGAGTGGGGCTAAAAGGCTGAGTGTACGCTTAGCATTCCTGAAGCCCAGAGTGTGATTCCCAAAACACAAATAAAACATAACAACAAACCTACAACAGGTAGGGAAGGGTAGGTAAGAATTTGATAACAGTCTCTCTTTCCTGCAGGGTCTGTGCCACTCTCCACAGCAGGAACACACAAGGGTTAAATGTATCACTGGACAGACTAAACGACAGGACAAGCTCTCAAATCATGAGAAACTGGGGACAAGCCTGAGACTTTCTTCTTCATCCTTTCAGACCTCTGGTTTTCTCTCTTATGAATGTCTCTCTTTTACCTTAGTTCATACATTTAAATTTCATCAATATCAGCTGGAAACACCTCAGCTAGGACACAGTACTACACGTGAGCCCTGGGCCACTCTGCTTCTCTCTCTGAATCTTGGTCTCTCTGACTGTAGAGTGAAGAGACTGGGTGTCCTTTCTAGCTGTGAGAGGGCGGGACGGTTGCCTAGACGGATGCAGCCCACACTCACCATTTACCACATAGGGCTTCCGTACAAGATCCTTGGGTCTCTCCTCCATGTCCACCTCCATGGCCTTCACCTGTAAAGAACAGATTTGAGACCAATAGACAAGCACCTTTGATCAGAGTTTAACCAATGTTAAGGACATTGCCCATCGATACACAACTATGCTTAGTATCAGGAAATCCCTGCCCAAGGTCGAGTAGAACTAGACCACAGCATACGTGGTATGCTCATGCCCACACTCACACAGCACATGTCATATCACACACAGTATTTTCATGCTTATACTCATGTATGACACACAGTATGTTCACACTCACACATCACACCACGCAGGGTATGCTCATACCCACACTCACACAGCACACCCACAATATTACTCTTAACAAGCAATTCAACTCTCTGCAACTATCTATGCCTCCCTTACACTGCTGCATAGTAACACAGCAAAACCACGTGCATGAAGAGTGCTTTATAGGTTACAGGGAGTCATGCCAGATATACTCTCCATGGGAAGACTTACCTGACAGTGCTTAGTTATAGTTTTACGTTTGCTTAAAATACTCTTGGGCCATTTTCCTCTGGCATGAGGAATACAGAGAAACTTGCCTAAAAATGGAACAGATTCACTGGCAAGCCCATTCATTAGGTTAACTAACATCTTACGAATCCTGGGAGTTTAGTAGAGAGCAAAATACAAAATCACGTTAAAGGACGAAGAGACACATTTATTATGCAGATGTGTGTGCAAATAAATAACATATCACCATGTACTATGAATTAAAATAAAGTAGGAAAGAAGTGGTTGAAGTGGGTGCTATCTTTGAAAGCTTCAAGGGGTGGTCCAGAACGGTTTGTTGGGAAGTAACTGGATGTCTCCGGTGAGGGATAACCAAAGGCAGTATAGAAAACAAAAACCTCAAAAACAGAAAAAAGATAGGTTGTAGAAAATTCCACCGAGCCGGGCGGTGGTGGCACATGCCTTTAATCCCAGCACTTGGGAGGCAGAGACAGGCGGATTTCTGAGTTCGAGGCCAGCCTGGTCTACAGAGTGAGTTACAGGACACCCAGGGCTACACAGAGAAACCCTGTCTCGAAAAACAAAAAAAAAAAAAGAAAGAAAAGAAAATTCCACCGACCAGAGAAGAAATGGTAAGCAGAGGGGATGTGAATGAATGAAGGAGGTCGTTAAAGGGCTTTGACCAGAATTAGTGTAAGCCAAATGATTTTATCACAAATACGGGAAGAGTGTGGTGTGAGATCAAATTCTGAAACTCTGTTCAGTGAAGGAAAGTCAAGTGGGGAAGGAAAATAGAGATGGGGAAAGTGCCTGGACCTTGTTTCATCAGTACCTTCCTCTTACGGAGTGGAACCGCCTTGTTGGGATCCATGGCCAACCCCATCTCCGCCAGGTTCTGCCGCACGGATTTGGTGTGGTCCCAGGCATGTCGGATGTGGGAGCTAACGGCAAAGAGAGAGAGAGATGAAGATTCTGTCACCTCGCGGTGGATCCCAGCCGAGGCCCCCGCCTCCAAATTGGTCCCTCACCACTCGATCCGTGGCGCTGCCTTCCGACGAGCATTCCGGTTCAGACGCTTTCGGTTGACGTTGTAACCGAACTTCTGCCTCCGAGTCTTTCCCTTAGCCTTGGGCATCTCGCAAACTTCTGCACCAGCAACTCAAACCCCGAATCACGCTCTCAGAGCCGCGTGTTAATAGTCTCCATACCCCAGTGCACGCAGGGATCCTTGGGAAATGTAGTTTTACTATTAGAGCCTCCACATTCATTTAATACAACTCCCAGAAAGCAACGGGCAATAGCGCCTGCGGACTACGCTCAGCAGGGTATTTCCCCGCCCCGTGATGACCTCATCAGAAGGCGGGGTCCGACGTCCGGATTTCTGTCCTACCTGTTTCTGTGAGAGCGGGAATGGCGGCTCCTGGTCCTGTGAGTCAAGAGGCGCCTTTTGATCCGTCTAAGGCCCCAGTTATCGAGGGTTTCAGCCCTCGATACACAAATCCAGAAGGCTTCAAGGAAAAGTTTATTCGCAAGACCCGTGAGAACCCAATGGTGCCTATAGGTAAGTGTGTGCTGTAGGAACGGAAGACCGAGAGGACAGCGGTTTCGTAGGGGAAGGAAATAGAGGAGGACCAAGTACATCTGGGGTTTGGAAAGGGGAGCGGGCCAGAGGTGTGACGAAAGGACGGTGCAGGGCTGACTGAAACGAATCGGAACGCGTTGCGGGACTTGGGGCTAGATGAAGCGGACTCTAGAACAACCCACTCCCGCCCTCCTGTTGTGGCTCTGGGAAAGCGGGGATGGGCTACATCCTCAAGGGACCTCCAGGACCTCAACCTGTTGCCTCCCGTGTGTGTTGTCCTCTCCCCAGGCTGTCTGGGTACGGCTGCTGCCCTCACCTATGGCCTTTACTGCTTCCACCGCGGCCAGAGCCACCGATCCCAACTAATGATGCGCACCCGGATTGCTGCTCAGGGTTTCACGGTCGTAGCCATCTTGTTGGGGTTAGCGGCATCCGCTATGAAGTCTCGACCCTGAGTGTATGGCCGGGTCTTGAAAACCCAGGAACAACAAACAGCCCTGTCAGACTTGCACTCTCCGTTTCTGACAGGACTTTATTGTAATTTGGGTGGGGAAGTGGTCGATTTTGTGACTGATTTGCGCCTCCACTCCTACCCCCACTCCCCCGAAATCCCAGGTTCGTTTCAGTTGGGTTACATGCGTCTATTTGTGATGCGTTCCCCTTAATTACGTAATAAAACCATATTACACTTGTATGTGATGAATTATTTCTTAATCTCATTCCTATGATCAAAACCATGATTTTTCGTCTAAGATTTTAGGAAGGAAGAGGCTGTTGGTAGGATTGGCCTTTAAAAATCAGGTAGTTGCCAGTCGGTGGTGGTGCACGCCTTTAATCCCAGCACTTGGGAGGCAGAGGCAGGTGGATTTCTGAGTTCAAGGCCAGCCTGGTCTACAGAGTGAGTTCCAGGACAGCCTGGGCTATAAAGAGAAACCCTGTCTCAAAAAACCAAAAAAAAAAAATCAGGTAGTTGTGATAGTGCATGCCTATAGCCTTAACTATTCTGAAGGTTGGGGGAGAAGAATCTTGCATGTTCAACAGGTCAAGCTTACTCAGTAGAGTAACTTAGATCCTCTATCATTTGAACTGGCCCGAGGGTACAGCTCCATCGGTACAGGACTTGGTCCTTGTGCGGCCTTAGGTTTATTCTCTGGTTAGGAGAGAAGAACGTGGAGCCTAGTGCCATCCAGACTTTCCTTGTCACTGTCAAGTTACTTGGGGCACTAGTTAAAAGTAGAGACTCCCAATTGCTCATTGTTAGATTCTAGTTCAGTGAGCTGTTTGATGTAACGGGGAAGTTTGCCAGCAATGTCCAAGTTTCTGTAGCCTTCAGATGAGGCCTGGCATAGATAGTCCTGTTTTGAGTGAGGATGTTCAAACCCACACTACCACCGTTCTTTGACTACTTCTCTTACACCAGTTCAGCCCCCTCGGAGGCCCTTGGCTCTGCCGATCTGTGTACCACTCCAGCTTTTGACAGACACAAAAGTCTCAAAGGCATTTGTGATCTGTGGTCCCTGTGTTGCTTGAGGAACCGACTCCTCCCATGGGTCACCTTGCCCCTCTGAACACCTCCTGAAGGAAGAAGGGAAGAAAGTAAAGATACATTTCTTGGGCCCTGACCTCCTTTAGATCTCTGAACGGAAGGTTCCTGACTAGAGCCGTTTGTTTGTATCTCCCGTCATGATCTTAACTGTGAGGCATATTGCCAGTGTGGAGCACTGCATTGTGAAGCCCACAGGATGCAAGAACAGGGCAGGATTTAAAGGTAATGTCCACTGCTAGTGTTATGCTGCCCACCCCCTAAAATACATTTAAGAGTTGAATCCCAACTCTTAATTCTTTAGGTAGGCTTTATTTGGCAAAAGGGACTTTACAGCCATGACTGTCAATAGTTAAAATATAGTCTTTAAGGTGGGCTTTAATGCAGTAAGACTGGTATCCATTTTTTTTAAATTTATTTATGAATGTCCTGCCCCTCTCTCCATGTGCACCTGCATGTCAGAAGAGGGCATCAGATCCCATTACAGATGATTGAGGTCCACCATGTGGTTGCTGGGCATTAAACTAAGGACCTTGGAAGAACAGCCAGTGCTCTTAACTGCTGAACCATCTCCCCAGCCCCTCGGATCCATATTTAAAAAAAAAAAAATTGGATATACAAGTCATACATGGAAAGAAGATGAAAGGAGACGACGACGTGAGGGTGTAGGCAAAACTAGAGAGCTGTGTCTGCATCCAGGAGATGTCTGAGCTACCAGAAGCTAGAAGGGGCACAGGTCCTGCCTTAGCGTCTCCAGAAGGCATGGCTTGGTTGGGCCCAGATTCGGAACTATAGCCTCCAGAACTGAGACAACAGATTTCTGATGCTCTAAGGCAGCCAGGGTTGTTTTTTGGTTTTGGGGGGGGGGGTTTTTTTTTTTTGTTGTTGTTGTTGTTGTTGTTTGTTTGTTTGTTTTTGTACTCTTTAGTAGCAATCTTAGGGAACTAATACTGTTGGCAGTTACCCAAATCTTTTCAAACACCATGTAGATCATAATGGCTTAAATGTCCTGTTTTATGGCCTCTGCTGAAGGGGAAGAAGGTGTGGTCATTGTTGCTTATCCTAAGTCCACAGGGAAAATAGCCGAAGAGGGAGGCACATCTGCGCTGCAGCAGGCTTGCATGTCTTAGAGGGTCCTGGTCACTCTCAAGGAAGAAGGTTTGGCGGATGCTGTATTAGCTGTCCTTACTCAGGCCTAGACACAACCTTAGAGCATGCTGGCCTCACTCCTTTCTACACAAAAGACAATTCTGTTTGGGGTTCCCTAGTTTTCTCAGCTATATAGGAGGACAGCAGAGTCCCTACCTTCAGACTTGCTAAAGAATCACAGAGAGCAAAGTTGCAGACCTGTCCTGTGAAGGTTTGCCTTTCTTGGAGGGCAGACAGCAGATACAAGTTGGGGTTCCTACTTCCAGCTGCGAGCTCCTGGGTTTCCAAGAGTACATCTTAACCTTTTAAGGACACGAAGCTAGGAAAGTTCTAAGCACAAACTGAGCCCTGACACCAGTTGCGGCTTCCAGAGAAATGAGGATACTAATAAGTAAGTGTAAAAAGAGTTAACACACCCTTTAAGCCAAGAAAAATACATCAGGAGGAACAGTCACAATCAAGTGGGCTGACAGGAGTCATGAGGGGCTGGAACAGGGGGCCAGGAAGGAGTGGGGGGGGTGAAAGGGGTAAGGGTCCCGCTTCCCAGCTCCCCGAGACTCAGAGGAACAGAACTGGCTGTGTGGCAGCTCCCAGAGGACGTTCTACCCCAGCTGAAGCAGCTGCTCCTCTGCCCCAGCAAGGCCCACGTGCTTCGTGGCCATTCTTCTGACAGGCACCTAGCGGGACAGTGGTGTCTGCTTCAGGGACAGGAGCACCGAGCGCAGGCGGGACACATCTTTGCACTGCTTGCTGCTCTTGGGGTTGAAGTCACACAGCTGGGCCACCTTCTCCCACTCTGTGCCTGGGGTCTCCTCCTTGGATTCTTTCACAAAAGCCTCTTCAGATGCCCTGAAGGTGGAGAGAGGACAGGTTTTCATGGTTGTCTTCTCCTGAGTCACTAGTGTCCTGCTCCCAGTCTGTGGCAGTCTACTCAGGGACATTAGCCAGAAGTCTCCCCATCCCTGTGCCCTAGGACTTCCTACCAGGAACAGTCTTGACATAAGAAACCCAGGCCTAAGTATGCAAGTCATCTAGACTCAGAGCTTTTGAACTTCCTGTTACCTCTTCCTGAGAGGCTTTCTCACTGGCTCATGGCTATTATTGCTTTTTGTTTGAGCCTGTGGTTCACTATGTAGCCCAAGTTATTCTTGAACTCTTGAGCTCAGGAGATCTTGCCTCAGCCTCCCCAATTCTGAGACCACACGTGTACCCCTGCACCTGGCTAGCTTGTTGCTTGTAAATTAGTTCCTAGAGTAGGCGTTCCCTCCTCAGAAAGGCCTTCCCAGTCTGGGCATCCTGTTCAGTCACTTTCTCCCTACCATTCTTGTTGTTTAAAGCATAGCCAGGGTTAACCTTGAACTCCTGATGCTGCTGAGATTACAGGTGTGTGCTAGCACACCTGGCTCACTCAGTAGATACAGAAAGGCCACCAGCTCTGTGGACCTTTCCTTCTTTGTTCATTACTACAGATTGAAGGAACCTAAGCCACAGACACAGTGTACCCATATTCCGTCTACCATTGAGCTGTGTCCCCACCTCTACCTCACATATTCTCAATACCTCCAAGACCCTGGCCAAGGGACAGTCACTAACCGCCTAATCAGCTGGGTAATGAATGTGGAATTTCCCACATCTCAAGCATATCTGACTACAGAAACCTGAGCCCAGAAGAGTTCTGTCTGGATGGAGCCATAGCTCAGGAAAGGTTCTATTGGAAGCTTTGCTTCAGTTGGAATTATATTAGGATAAAGTCTGGGGTCGTTCCTTCTTCAGGAGTCTGCTTTGAGGGTATTGGGTGGTACTGGGTATTTCTGTCTGTGTGTGCCAGGCAAGAACTCTACCACACTTCAGAATTCTTGGTTGTCAGTTTTGAAAGCCACTGACTTAGAGTGCTCAGCAATAAATGGGGCATCTATCACACACATCAGGGTTCAGTGACCGTAGTGGGAAAGGGGCGGAAAGATTTTCAAGAGCCAGAGGACAGGAGACGGAGAAAGCAGCATCTTCTGGACGTGACAGGACACTTGTGTCATGAACATACCGTAGCTGTGCTTACCTGCACAGGATCAAACCAGCCAACAGTCTGGAGTATGGAGGGAAAGTCGGTTTTCTTTAAGGGTGTGGCTCCTGATAGGTCCACACTGAGGAGTTTGTGAACAGCACAGATTGGACTCAGTTATTTGGGAGGGGGGAAAAGGGATCCAACATTGGGGAGCAGTTGGGAGGTGGGTCAGAGAACTCTCTGAGTGATCCTACTATGCTGTGTACTGGAACTGGCCTGGGCTCAACAGTGGGACAATGATCTTGCCTTTCTGCTGTGTGCTCAGCTAACCTGTGAGGTGCGAAGCATGGCTTCCACTCTTCTGAGCCGATCTCTGGCCTGAGCGTGCAGTGTGGTGACAGTGTGCTATGAGGGTTAGACAGTGAGTGTGGATGAAGGACTTTATCCCTGCAGCTGCCTGTCAGGGTCAGGAGGTTACCCCTCTGTCTTTACTGCTGATCTGTGCCCAACAGCACAGGCGTCACCATGGAGCTTGTTAGAAACAGCCTGACCCTCACATCAGTCCTACGGAACCAGAATCTGCTTTGCTCCCTTGGCAATGCACAGGCAGATGAAAGGCTGAGAAGTCTTGATTCCAGTTCTTTCTCCTTCTGAGCCGCCTTGGGTTCTCTGGACCATTTCCTTGGGTCCGATAGGAGCACCAAACCCAGTGATATTCTACAGCACCTACACCTGCCAGATGTCCCTCTCCCCTGTTAGCCTCTCCATGGCTGCCGACTGCCTTGAGGGTCAACTCTAAGCTCCTCAGCTTGGCACAGAGAGTCCAGCTCCCAGGTGGAGGCCTCCCAGCATTGGCTTCCATTCATCCCCACAAACCCGGCCAGTCAGTCTTCTCCAGACCTCTGCCCCAGCTGCCTCTCCCATCTCGAGTGATCTTGTCAGCCCTTGCTACCTGGCAAATTCATCTTTAACTCTGAAGGTGTAACTGAGGGTCATGAGTCTCTGAAGCACGCACTGGGTTCCCAGCGGAGAGTGTGGCTTACAGAGTTCATGATGTATTCCAACCCGTGAACAACTTGCAGGGGGAGGGCTACTTGTCTCTTCTCTGAGCAGTGACAGGCATAGGATCAGTACCAGCAGGTACAGGTCAGATGGGGGGAGGAGGGGGTGGGCAGAAGGAGAAGAAGGCTGCATCCTGCAGTTGCCCCGTTTGTGTGTGTGTGTGTGTGTGTGTGTGTGTGTGTGTGTGTGTGTGTTAGAGGGTGAGGGCAGAGGGTAGTAGAGGCTGCGGTGGCGTGGTTCAGCAAGACCCGTCCCAGCAGGATCAGTAAGGCAAGGTGTGACGTGAGGAAACTGTACTCAGAAATCACTGAATCTTCCCTGTAACTTCTCCCCACCCCCAGCACTACTGTCCATAACTGCCAGTCACCCGGGGCTGGCGTGAGAGGAAACCTGACTGACATTACAAATTTGGAGCAGGCATGGTTCCAGCCAGACTCCAAACCCAGACACATGGGAGAGGAGCCGCTGTGCAGTGGGCAGGGGCTCGCGCCCAAGTCAGTGCTCTTAGGGTGGGGCAAGCGTAGACTTAGAAAGACACTTTGTTTATGCATTCAGCTCGCTGTGTGTGGTGTTTGTCCAAAAAAAGTCCCCTTCATCTTACCTACCTCTCCCCAGGAGGCTTCTCAGGGGGAGTGCCCTGCCCTTTGCCCCCTCCCACGTGAGGCTGGCTAGTGCATTCCTTCCTTCACCCCGACTTGGGAATGCTAATGGGCAAAGTTCCCTGCAGTTTGCTAGCAGGACAGAGATGGAAGGCAAGGGCTAGTGCCTCCACAGTCCTAGAGCTCGCTCGCCTTCTGCTCTGGCCACCGCTCTGAACCCAACCACACTCATTTATACCACGCAGACGAGCCACTCTGAAAACCCGCCGGGCTGCCCTCCACAGCCGCCCCTGCGGAGCGCAAAGGAGGCACGTACACATAGCCAATGGTATCAGCATCTGGCTGCTGGTAGAACGCTTTGTCAGCGATCCTTGAGGAAAACCGTTAGGAGAAGGAGTTAGGCGGGGGAAGACAGACAGCAAGACAGGCAGGCACAGGGTTAAAGAGAAAGAGAAACAGTGTGTTAGTACCTCCAAGAGGAGACATGTTAGGAAGTACAATTTAAAACTAGCAATCACCCATAAGAGAGTGGGAAGGCCTGAACTGTTGATGGCTCCCTACTGCTCACTGAAGTCTTTTCCCAAAACCATTCCCTCTACACTTTGACTTCCTGTAAACCAACAACCACAACCTCTTTCCAACCATGATCCTCCTAGGTCTAGAATGTTCTCCCTTATATCAGCCCTTCTTTCCTGAGGAATCATGGTCATCCCTCAAAGACAAGTCTCTAGCTCAGTGGTTCTCAACCTTCCCAATGCTATTACCCCTTAATACAGCTCCTCATGTTGTCGTGACCCCAACCATAAAAGTATTTTCATTGCTACTTCATAACGGTAATTTTGCTACTGTTACGAATCGTAATGCAGGATTATCTGATATAACCCACAGGTTGAGAATCACTGCTCTAGACAATGGTTCTCCTCCAGCATGTTCACTGCTTTTTTGCTTCCGTGGTCTTTGTGAACAGGGCCCTACTGGATGCAAGTTTGGCTCTAGATGTGTGATTCTGAACTCTGAGAATATAGAAGAGTCCTCATCTGACATCCAAAGCCCAGCTTAGCATGCAACAGTTAGATTGTCTTTCCCTTGAGGGAAGATCTTGTATCTTGAAGGGCACAGCATCCTAAGCAGGAGGACGTCCGTTTCCACAAACATGTTCTCAAGTTTGCACCCTTGCCCTGCCCTGCTTGTGCTTCTCAGAACCAGCTGCTCCCACTGCAGTCCCTGTGGCTTCGATACGACTGGCCCCATGGCAGCCCAATGAGTGGGACTTTCACCCTGGCTGAGTCCTCCTCCTGTCTACTGGCAGGGTCACACAGCCCAAGGCAACTCTGGCAGGAGCCACTAGATACTTGCTATTTTTTCTTTCTTTCTTTCTTTCTTTTTTTTTTTTTTTTTTTTTTTTTTTTTTTCCGAGACAGGGTTTCTCTGTGTAGCCCTGGCTGTCCTGGAACTCACTCTGTAGACCAGGCTGGCCTCAAACTCAGAAATCCGCCTGCCTCTGCCTCCCAAGTGCTGGGATTAAAGGCGTGCGCCACCACTGCCCGGCTAATACTTGCTATTTTCACTGAGCTTGCCTGGATCGGAGGGCAGAGGCCTGATGCTGCTGTTCGCATACAGAGGCATATGACCAATGGTAGAGCCAGAACGGAAGGAAGCAGAGCCGAGTGGCAGGGAGAGTGAACACGACTGACGGCACTTATGCCCCAGTGCCACCATCCTGGCCTTTTCATCCACACAGGTCCCTAGTATCCCATCATCCCTTAGTCACACTGGGTTGAAGTACCGTCATGTGCCATCTCTTACAGAAATGACATCAAATACTCAGGCTGGCTCTTCACTCCCTGCCAGGCCTGTGGCCTCTCTGAGTTGCCCACAGATGGAAAGTCTAGTTTCACTCCAGACCTCGGTACCCATTCTGCTTCCTCTCAGTTGTGAGGAGGGGTAAGGGCTCAGGAGTGGGTTCCAGCAGCCCCCTTCCTCTGTCCTTACTGCATCGTCCATTCAAGGCAGCCCCAGCACCACCACCCCACCGTCATCCCCAGCACTACCACCCCACCCATCACCCCCATGGCTCCCTCCACCTTCTCAGAGATGCCCTCGTGTTCCTATGATTTCCTTCATGTTTTCATTACATCCCCAATGGCTCCCCTCAGCCTTTTTGGCTCTCCTCAGGTCCCTTGCTTCACTCACCTGTTGTTGATCTTGTTCTTCTCCACCTGTTCACTTTGGCGCTGGTTCCACTCCTCCAGGTCTTTTTTGGCCTTCTCCCGCCACTCCTGTTCGGTCACCTTTGAGGCAGCGTCTGTGAGCCCCACAGGAGAATGAATATAGCAACTTTTCTGTAGAGGACAGCCACCGCCACCCCTGGCCCTAGCCAGTACCCCCAGGACCCACCCTTAGCCATGTGGGCCTGCCTTGGCTGCCTAGACAAGACTCCAAGGCTGCCTCATTCTGTCCCACCAGGTAAGCACCAGAAGCTATCCTTGCTGGAGTCCCCGTCCCCCAAGTGTGCCCTCACCCAACTCCTGCAGCCTTTTCTTCTGCTCCTCTCTCCACTTCCGGATGCTCTCAGGCTCCTGAGTCAGCCTGTCGGCCTGGGCAATCGCAGCATAGCCGTCGGCAGGCCCGTTAGGCTCCTGCAACAAAAGCAGTGTTCCTGGCCCATCCTGCCTGCCCTGCTGCTGGGCTGGTCTTACTGGTAGCAAGATAGCCCTCAAACCAGGACACACAGGCAGCAGAAGGCAACCTCAGCCCACAGCAGCACCCAGGCCCTGGTGAGTACACTCTTTGTGTCCACCAATGCTGCTCCCGTGTGGCCTTAGGCCGCTCAACCTCTCAGGGCCTGACCATCACCTGGCCAACTCCTTCACACTCCCTTTCGTTAACCATAAGACAGGATAAATTATAACACTCCCATAGGATTGATACAATAACGAGATGAATCTTAAAACTAAACTTGGGGCTGAAGAGATGGCGTCATGATTAAGAGCACTTGCTGCTCTTGCAAGAGGAACCTAGTTCAGTTCCAAGCACCATCATGGCGGCTCATAACCATCTGCAACTCCAGTTCCAGGGAAGCATGTACCCACTTCTGGCCTTTGTAGGCATTTGCATGGGTGGTATACATACATCCGTGCATGAAAGACATTTATACTCGTAAAATAAAGCTTTAAAAAAACCCTAAATATCATCTTGTACACAATGCTTGTGTGCCTTGTGCTACCATGATTGAAATCCATCTGTTACAGTTCTGTCACATGATATAACGTACACAGTCTAACAGGACCTCATCACTAATGTGTTCATTTGTCCAGCCTGTGTCACCTTAGTGACAGCAGGGCTTTGTCAGGTGTTTTCTTGCCACAGTGCTTATAGGAGACAACAGACTTTTCCCGAGTGAACATGCAGTCCAGCAACAGGCAAAACTACCATGACTAAAACTCTGCCATGGTCAGGCGGTGGTACCACACAGTACTCAGAAGGCAGAGGCAGGTGGATCTCTGTGAGTTCAAGGCCATCCTGGTCTACAGATTGAGATTCAGGACAACCAGGGCTACACAGAGAAACCCTTTCTTGAAAAACCAAAAAAGGCAGAGGCAGGCGGATTTCTGAGTTCAAGGCCAGCCTGGTCTACAGAGTGAGTTCCAGGACAGTCAGGGATATACAGAGAAACAAACCCTGTCTCTAACCACCCCCCCCCCCACAAAAAGTAACTTAAGACACAGGCATAATACTCATACACATAAAGTGATAAAACTTTGCTGCGGTAAACTTGGACTCTAAAAGCTATCAAACCCGTTGCTGAAACTACAAGATGTGTGTATGTCTCCTCACTGAAAATGGAATTCATAGTAAGATGGTCTCTCAGACCTGATGCTTGGATCTGACACAACACAATTTATAAGGTATTTATTTCTTTGTGTAGAGACAGGGCCTCACATAGCCCATGATGGCCCAGAACTTGCTCCATAACTGAAGGTAACCTTGAACTTCTAATTAACCTGCCTTCTGTGCCCTTCCCCCAGCCTTGAGCAGGCCTGAGAGACCTTGTTTACCACAATAGACCAAATAATAGGATCTAGGTGGAGTTACCCACCTTGGCTGCATGTACAGCCTGCTACAGGAACTTAGAAGAGTAATTGCCTGCTGAGCTTGCCTTGAGACATCTCCTTGAGACTGGTGACCAAGAACGGATTATCTCACCCACCTCTCCTGCTGAAACTAGGAAGGGTTTGGGCAGGGCCTTCCCCTTTAAATTGGAAAGCCAAACATTAAAACATTGAGCCTTGATCAGAGAACTTTGTTTTGGCATCATCCCCTTTCGCCCTCCGACTTCCTTTCATTCCCAGCCCCCTTTCAGGTGAACCCAGTTGACTCGTGGCTACAGCCTTTACCTCCAGAGTGCAGCAACCAGGTGTGGGTCACTACACCAGGGTTATGCTCTGTTGTGTTCCATTGCACTGATGAAATCCACGTGCATGCTTAGCAACTCTTCCACCTGAGCGACATTCTCAACTCTGTAAGACAGACGAGTGCCTGCCGCAGGATGACTGACAGCTCAGTGGATGGGATTAGAATTATCATTCTTTTTCTTTAATTGTATTTCTCAATTTGTGTTTGCCAGAGAGGACCTGACTGGAAGTCAGAGGACAACCTGAGGGAATGGGTTCTCTCCCTCCACCCTGCGGGTTCTGGGGCTGACCTCAGTCTTCAGGCTTAGCAACTTTACTGCTTTTCCATCTCACCAGCCCACTGCCGTCAGTTCTCATTCCCTTTGTACAGAAGGAACACTGAGGCCAAGAAAGATGGACAGACGTAGTGGGCGGGGTTCAGCTCTGGTGACAGAGTTGATAGAGCCTGGGACAGAGATGTTGGGGTTGTGTACGTGGGTCAGTGTGGATGAGACCCCTCTGGTCTCAGAGACCCTATCTGTCTGAAGGAGGGAGTGTGGGCCTTGCCACCATGCCTGGCACTTTCACCATGCCCTCCACGTTCCTGTGGGCACCGACCTCATGGGGCTTCTACTGCAGTGTGCCCTGCTTCCTCCAGCCACGGAGGTCTTCATCATAGGCCTTGGAAGTTTCTACTACTGAGCCACACCACAACCTGAACACTTGACCATTTTATTAAAGTAACTTGAATGCTTGGGCTTTTATATCTTCAAGGGTGCTAGAACCGCCCCCATCTAGATCGCAGGAGACAACCAGATTTTATTGTCTCAAAGCAGTTGTCGCTGTCTGAAACGGCTTACCTGTTTACATGGTTACTTTTTGCACCCTTCCTGTCACCCCCACCCCAGCCACCTAAGAAAGTATGCTCTGTAAAACCAGAGACTGACACCACACAGCATCCAGAGCAGGAGGGCCAAGACGAGGGAGGGTTTATTGAGGCTAGACACAGGGTATCCCTACCTGTCATAAGACCCTGGGTTCACATTCAACCCAGAGAAGGAAGAGGAGTTAGAGGAAGAGACAACTTATTAAATCCGTATGTGTTGAGGTCATGGACAGGGATGGACAAGACAGCCGGTCTTCTGGTTGTTTGAGATGGAGAATCCCTCAGAGATGAGGACCATAGCTGATAGGTATATAGTAGAGGACAGGTAAGAGGCCAGACAAAAAATGGCATGACCTTTCTTACCTGGGAGCAGAGAACAGCAAAGGATGAGCGAAAGGCATACAGCAAGATCCAGCAAGCCAAACGACCAAACAGGGCAGTGCCTTTGGGAAACTCTAGGTACAGAGGTGCTAACAGGTGTAGGAAGAAGTGGAGTGAGGAGGTGCTGGAGAGGCATCCGTGGGCAGGCACTCTAAGCCCACGCCTCACAAGTTAGTGTTCCAGAGCACTTGCTAGAAAACGGATGTCTTTGATCTTTACAATTCCACTCGGAAGGTTTTATTGGCCCTGTTTTATATAGGTAAGGGGACTGTAGTTCCAAAGTGCCACAATCACCCCAGTGACAGAGCCAGGTTCAGACTGAATAGCTAAACAGCTAACAGGAACACTGCATGATTCCTACTCTGCCCTTGACTCCTGGATTGGTCCTCTTGCCCCCATCACCCCTGGGGGACTGAATCCAGGGCCTTAGGCACACTAGACAAACACTACCAACTCAGCTACAATCCCAGGCCCCAGCTGGCTGCTGATAAGTGACCTCAAGATTAAAGACTTTGTCCCTTCAGCGGTCCCTACCTCCCCCACTTCTCCCACCTCTTTCCTGCCTCCAGGTCACTCCTAAATTCACTTAGTGTACTCGTCAGTAATGTACAAGGCTGTCAATGGTTACAGAGTGCTTTTCCCAACAACCCCGTGGGAACAACAGCCTTGAATCCCCATTTTACAAATGAGAAACCAGGCTCAGAAAGGTTAAGTTACTAATTCAAGGTCATCCAGCAGGGAAAAGCCAGAAAATGAAGCCTCGGCTTCCTCTTCTGCCTGAGGTCTGGATATGAAGTCTGGGCAGCCCTTGGTACAGTTCCACTACATACACAGGGCACAAGAGGCTCAGGGTTCCACAGCGCATCCCACCCCTGGAAGTAGGTGTGGCCTGTAGGGTATGAAGCCTGCCTAAGCTGGGACCACCTCCTATACCATATGAGAGGCAACTGATACGCTATGGTTGGGAGTTAAAGTTGGGAGTTATGTTAGGCAATGCTATCCAGCCCTGTGTCTGTGACCTCTTGGGGCTTTCCTGACATATCCCTCTACGCAACAGACTCCATAGGGCCTCGGGATGAACCGTGAACCAACTGCCTTACACATGCTGTTCCCCAGCCAGGGCCAGCCATGCTTCCCAGGCAGCCTTGAAACCCACTTCCTATGTCACTCCCCTGTTGGGTTTCCAGGCTTCCAGCTCCTATGTAACTAAAACAGCTATTAAATCTCCTTGAGCAAAATGGGGATAATAAAAGAAACTGCAGAATGGGTGTTGGGAGGATTAATCCCTGTAAAGCCCTCAGTTGTTTTTGGAAACAAAAACACAGAAAGTACTCAAGCTGTTAGAGTTTTGTTTTTGGTTTTGGTTTTTTGTTTTTTTAAGGGCCTCAAGATGAAAATGTGCCCCATGCTAGCCTTGAACTTATGATCCTTCTGTCTCAGCATTACCTTCAAATCCAAGCTCATGGGCTATACTGATTTCTTTCCAGGTATCCTGGGCCTTCCCAGAACCCATTAGAAGTAAACTCTGGGACAAACACTCCACTGGCTTTGCCTTCACATCCACCACCGCACAGGCCTGGCCCCCAAAGAATGCGAGTTGAGAAATGAATGAACAATTGGCTAGGGGAGGGCCCAGGAAGGGCGCTGGACATTGTTATCAGAGAGGCCTGGCTTACAGTGCCTGTTCTGCCATGCACCAGGTGATGACTGTTGAGAAAAATCCCTTCCCTGCGCAACCCTGATTTCAAACCTGTGAAATGACAGCATCCTGCTCAAGGCATCTAATAAGGCCCACATAATGAATGCAACAGCCCACTCATGCTAAAAAGCATGACGATTGCGGCTCACTGTCACCAGGTGCTTAGGACCCTCACTACCAGACAGCTGAGCACAGCAGACTTGCTGGCAGGCAGATCCTGAGAAATACCTCACTACCTTTTCTCCAGGTTGCTACAGATTTATTTTTCTGCCCATGCCAGTAAGCATCAGGGGCCACACTGAGGCTCATCCATGTCTCTCTGAGCCTCCTAGGTACGAGATGGGGTGACTTCCAGAAGGTTTAGCAGCCCAGGGCTAGAGTGGCCATACTAGTGGCTAAGGAAGTACTCGGAACTCCTCCGAAGTACCGTTGAGGAAAGAGCTGGGTATGGCCAGAAGCAAAAAACAAGAGGCCACAGGAAGGCCAGCTGACCTCCACCCGGCCTCTTGGCCCCCTCTTTGGAGGGACTTCTCTGTTGGGCCCCACTTCGAAAGCTTCTGGGCTTTCATGCTGGCTGAGTGAATGCTAAAACTTCATGGCCGGTATATCCGCCTTAGGATTGAGCAGCTCAGGCTAAGCTGGGCTGAGCTGTTGATTCCTCTAAGTAGCTCACAGGAGGGAAGAGATGCAAAGGGAGTGGAGCGGGGGAGGGTGGAAAGGAGATGAGTTCTTCAGGGGTCCTCCAGCCCTGTCCCTGTCCCCCAAGCAACCAACGGAGCTGGAATGAGTGCTATTTGGCTCATCCTCAGGCTGTGCTGGAGATGAGGTTTGTAGTTGGTCACTCACCTAGTTTACTAGAAAAGACTGAGACACAAGGCTCTACCCAGGGTGGTGGATGTGCTGGCCAAGGCTTTTATCCCTGAAAGTGCATGCCACACACCACTCACTGCCCTTATGCTACAGATAGTTTTCTGAGTCCAGCACCAAAGCAAAGCACAGAGTATATGCAGGGCAGGCACGAAGGAGCTTTGCTGCTAAGCCAAATAAACTTTCTCTTCTGTGACCTCCCCTTGCCCAGAATTCTAGGGCAGCAAGCAAGGGTGTGGCGTGATTCGCAGATCAACATGCCTGGGGCATTGTGATAGCGGAGAATAAGAATTACTCCTGAGACTGCACTCCTCACATCCCCTAATGGACAGTGATGCTGAAGGTGGCAGCAAATGGCCAGGAGAGCCAAGCCCAAGAGAGCCAGGCCCAGGAGAGCCAGGGCCAGGAGAGCCAGAGCCAGGAGAGCCAGGCCCAGGAGAGCCAGGGCCAGGAGAGCCAGGGCCAGGAGAGCCAGGGCCAGGAGAGCCAGGCCCAGGAGAGGTAAATCGTTCAAGTTAGGAAAACTCCATCTGTGAAGTTCTTCAATATCTGTTGAAATCTCAAGCTTTTCTTCAACTGAAAGTGAGAGTGTGTTGCTCAGAATGTTCTAGATACTCTTGCAGGTCCAAATGCTGCTCCAGCATATTCCCTGCAGAACAAAGACCTTCTGAGCCGTTAAGGTCTTTGTGGGTGCTCCTGGAGCCCAGAAACGCCTGTCCAAAGTCCTAAGAGTACAAGAACAACCCTGACTCCTTAGCTTGGCTACAGTCAACTGGACACGAAGCTGCCAGGGTCCTAGGGAGAGACTGTTCTAACACATTGTCTGTTGAGTCATTTTCCAGAAATGGGGCTAGGCCAGTTTTCCTGAGTTAGGACGAGCCCATCCCACTTACATAAGAATGTATTGTTTATTCTCCCAGGATCCAAGAGGCCAACTCCTCCCAGGGTGGGGCTCAGGAGATCCGGAAGCTGCAGGCCCCATCAGCGGCTTACCTGCCCAAGTTGAGAATTAATGCTCACATAGTAGGGGCTCAGCCCCACCTAGAGGTCTGGGGTGCTCCACACTATGTTGGGTTTGGGGATGCCTTTGGCGTGCGCGCTCTCTCAGTCTGTGTGTTTTGTTTTGTTCTGTTTCTGTGGTCCTGGGGGTTGAACTCAGAGCTTCTACTGAGCCCCATCCCCAGACAGTCTTTAACTAGCATACTCTCTACCCTCCTATCCACACTGTACCAGGCCCTGTGGTGGGAAGAGAAAGCCAGGGCCTCTTACTCTCAGGGCCAACCACTGTTAACAATTGGAATGCCTTTTCCAGATATTTTGGGGAAAAAATTATTTGGAAAATACTTTAAAAATAAAGAAAATAAAAAATTTTATTTTAAAAAATAAAAATAATGGCACACCATTCATTTTGCAAGTTGCTTTAATAAGAGCATGCATGCCTATAGGGACAGGAAGCTCTGATAGCCCTTTGGAACAGTCAACCTAGCCCTCCACCCCTCCCCCATTCCAGACATGTAGGTTATTTCCAGTTTGTCTGCTGTTACAAACCATCTTGCAGAGAATCTGGAGAGAACCCCTTTCCAATCATTTGCTTAGGGGAAATTCCACACGTAACTTGACCAAAGAGCCTACCCAGTTAAAGTACCCATGGGTGTGGGAGATGGCCAGTCAGGCTAGCCTCCAACCAGAGGCATCTGCCCAGGCACGGCTCTGGTTCCTCCATCCCACGCCATCCCTTCCTGAAGCTAGAGACTCCTAAGGACAACCTGAGCGACTCCTCAGTCAGTCCCAGTCTCCCACACAACAAGAAAACAGTGTAGCAGACGTGATGAGCCTCAAACGACCTCCAATGGAGAAACAAGTTACTGAGCCTGAGACAGTCTGTCCCACCTCTGCTTACCTGAAACACATCTCCATTGACTGTAGTCCCCATGTCCTCTGAACCAGCTGGAAAGAGCAAGGAGACAGTATCATTCACAGTCCAGATTACAAACACACAATGGTCCTACTTTTGCCTCTCGAGCCAACCTGTGCATACGCCCATGGATATACTGATACCCCCTCACACCCCCAAACATAATGGCTATATAAACAATGAGGCTCAGGCCCTGACTGTTCCCACGTGTACTCACTGTCGTACCTAATATTTGCCACAGCCCTATGATGAAACTGTTAGTGACCCATTTTACAGATTCTCAAGTGGAGGCTCAGAAGACTACTGTGATTGCTCCAAATCACCTGGCAGTGCACCGTTCCTTACCTACCTGAAGTTAAGTGTAGAGCTGGGACCAGGGGTACTGTGAGCTTAGGGAGAGGCCACCGGGATGAGGAAGAGAGGGGTCTGTGTCTCTGCATGTCCTGCTGGAACCTTGAGCAACCGCTCTGCCTGGGTGAGCAGGACTCACAGCTCCCCCTGGGCAACACTTGGCCTATTTTTCCTCTCTGAGCCCCTCCCAGGGTTTCATGTTGACTGCGAGTCCTCTCAAGCCCTTTATCCAATATCCAGTTAGTCACAAACTACCTGTAGCTTCCACTGCAACAGCGACCCTCATGGTTGCCTTCCCCTCACTCCGATACCCAGCCCAGCCTGTGCCCTCGCTGTATCAAACCTCCACTCCTGCTTTGGTTGTCTGTCCTGCTAGTGGCAAACAAGAGCACAACGGCTCGGAGCCACACCCATGCATGGAACCTCTCTAAAAGTTCAGTCACTAGATGCTGAATAAACAATTATTGTTAATGGTGTGGAAGTTACCTCCTACAGGGAGCCTTAGCCTGCTTCCTCTACTTCCCTAGGTACTAAAAGGTCTCTGGGGTACACCAGAACACTACACAGGGTGTCCTACTCTCTTGTTCAGTGACTTGGCATGTGCAGGGCTATGTACTCCTTACCAGACTCCGGATTCCTGCATAGAATGGATGAACAGAGACAGTTGGCCAAATGAGAGTTGAATTGTTCTTTGGGGCTCATTGTAACTGGCAAGGCCTCTCTGAAACTGTCATACCTCCTAGCTGTAAGCCACAGCAGGCCTTATGTGGTCACCAGAGACAGACAATTAGCCCTGTACTCGATAAGCAGGCCTCTGAGGAGCAACAGTGCTTCTGGCCTAAGCCTGACAGGATTGAAGGGGGCTTCCCAGCCTCATGTCAATCATCTGTCACCGATATAAAATATAACTTATTTACCGTCAAGCAGTGACTAATCCTCATCTACTGTGACAGCTCTCACCTCACCCCCTCTGAGAGGATTTCTACAGTAGGGGTGGCCTGCTCTCTAAAAGAGGGCGATCCCAAAAGGGTACGAGCATCTTCCTCAGAGGGGCTTCTTCTGGGGCATCTGCTCTGCCTAGCCTTACCTCGCCAGGGTCCATTCCTGATGCTATCTATGTACCTATGGGGACAGCCTTTTGGAGACTACCTCTCTTTAACCGGATCTGCCTCCAGCAGACCCCTCTTTGACAAGGCCACATGGATTTCTGTTGCCCTCCCAGGCCCTCAGAAAAATGAAGCATTGCTAGCCTCTTTGGACTGCATACACGCCCACTCTCGGAATTACCAGCGTGTATCCCGCAGGCCTCTTGCACATTTATGATCCCGAGTCTACAACAGAGCCCGCAGAACAAATACAGCAAGGCAAATAACAAGTCCCAAGGATAAGCTCTTTGGTGTGTGGCCTCCTCAGGAATAAGGGCAAAGGATCCAGAACATTCCTGTGAGCTTACTGAGGCCAGCAGGGGCAACAGGATTACACGGAGCCAGCCCATAAGTCACAATCAGGCCAAGAGCCCAGAGAACGGGTGTGAAAGTGTAGAGCATAGCATTTGGGCACTGCCCAAGGCTGATGAATGGAAACAAAGTGTCCATGGCTCAAGCGGCTGCAGATCTGCCCAGAGAGAAGGCTCAGTGGGGTTCCAGTTCAGGCCTACGCCAGACACAGCTTTCCCCAGGCCCCCGTGAAAGCCAGCCGCAGTGAACTACACATACACACACACACACACACACACACACACACACACACACACACACACACGAGAGCTGCTATCAGAAGCCCTCATTGTCTAAGGGAGGTGACTCAGAGGTGTGCATTGGTGACTGCTGTTAGAACCAGCTTCTTTCCAGCTCCCAGAAGGCCCAGACCGGTTACCTCAGACCGCCAAGGCTCCTACCATTCCCTGAGACCCAGAGGAGGATAGGTGCCTCCCACTGTCTAGGCTTAGGAGAATCAGGTTCGTTCTATTTATGCCTGAAGAGCCGCTGAGCTCCTCTCCTGAAGCACCTCCTTGTTCCCCAGAACTGCCACTCAGAAGGGCAGCTGGGCACCTGCAGCCTCAAATGTAGGAGTCGGGGAGACTCTCAGAGGGCCATGTCCCTGGCAGCTCCCCTAAGGATTATCACCACTGTCTCCCTCCCGGTTATCTCATATCTAGGGCCAGTCAGTGCCCTATCCACCCAGACTGTAAGTCCCTAGGATCCTACAACCTGCGAAATCCCATGGCTATCCTCAACCCGAACTGCATCTGTTTTTCTCCTGAGTTGCTAACTCGGGACCTCCTAATGAGGGAAAAGACTGTTTTCAAGGGGTAACCGTGGACTAGTGAGTTCCATGCAGAACCTAGGCAGCTGCCCTGGGACAATGGAGGGCCCCGTGCTGAAGGACTGAGAGCTGCTCTTTCAGACCTACATGACTGGTTTGGTTAGGCCCCTGCTTCTCCTTCCTGTATCCAGTCATCCCCTAAGGAGACTTATATAGCTGCCCTTCCGAAGAACATAACTAGGAGGCCTGAAATCAAGCCCCAAACCTATCACTCATGGATGTGTGGTCCTAGGCAAGACATTCAAACTCCAGTTTTTAAAATTATTATTATTATTTACATTGTATTTACCTGTGTGTGGTGCACACATGTATGTGAGGTCAGAGGACAATTTGGGAGAGTGAGCTCTCTCTACCACAAAGGTGCCAGGAACCGAGCTCAGGTGTCATCAGGCTGGGCTAATTTCACCTTTACTGGACAAGCCGCCTTGATAACCCTCAAACTCCAGTTTTGTGTATGTTACAAAAGGTTTAGTACACTCTTATGTCAGAGTTCATTCAACCACTCGGCCATAGATAGAGTGTCTCCCTTCTGTGTTCCCAGAGGGGATGGAAACACAGCAAATGTTGAATGAAAGAATATATACATACAATATTTATTTCCAACAGGACCATTAAACCTCTAACATGACACCAAAAGAGAAAAATAAAGAGAGAAAGAGAGAGAGAGAGAGAGAGAGAGAGAGAGAGAGAAGAAACAAGATCTATTAGGAGTGTAACGAGGAAGGTCTATGATTGTACTAAATATTTAAATATGTTTATAAGAAACTGTTCCTTGGGTTAGAAGTATCAATGATAAACACAACATTGCAGGAAACAGGCCCTGAACCCTTATGTCTGAAGGCACGCGCAGAGTTCCCGGGCCACCTTTGTAAGTCCACTAAACAAACAGTTACAAACAGGAAGGGCACGTTCATGGCCATTTGTCCCCCTGTCCAGACTTAACAGTCAGGCCCATGAAAGACTGTGTGGTCTAGACAGGAAGAACTCAGCATCCGACAGAAGAGGTTTAATTCTTGATTGCTACTTCCTAGTTGTTTTAATAGTGTACCCTCTGAGGCCAGTTCTGAAATGGGTTCAGTAACGTGTATGGAAATTATTATATGTAATTAACATTGTCTCCTGCACTGCTGCAGGACGGCAGGTGGTCCCCCAAGGAAGAGCCGCGAGTTCTCCGAGCGCCCCCTGCTTCCCTGCAGAATGAACGCTAAGCCCTGGGTCAAAAGGACTGGGTCGTCCCACACCTGTACCACTTAGCTAGGACACTGGGCCAGTCTCAGAACTGAGCAGGGGGAGGGTTCCAGAGCCAGACGGTGGAGGAGCTGGCCTGGGGATGAAATGTCATGACTAAATTCCTGTCTCCAGAGTCAGCAGATCCAGTCTCAGCGCAGACTCCAACTCATTCCTCGGCTCCTCCCTCTTTTCCCAGGCCGCACGGATACACACAGCCCCCCGGGGTATCCCTGGTCACCCTGGATAGCCGGGCTCAGACTTCTGCAGGGACCCAGGCCGGGTCTGACCGAGACTGGGCCTCCCGCCGCCGGTGCTGGCCTCAGCCCCCCGTTCCAGGCCGCTGCGCTGACTCACCCCCGCTCGCGAGTCCCGGCTGCGCAGAGGCCACCTGGCTGGCGGCAGGTGCCCCGAAACCCGGGTCATTCTCGATGCCAGCAATCTCGCTCTCCTGCTGGGCCAGGAAGGCGGCCGCCGGGTCCTCCTCGGCGGCCTCGGGGGCCCCGCTCTCCGACGACGAGAAGAAGCCGAAGTCCTCAGCCATCTTCCCCGCGTGGCTGCTGTCACCTCCCGCCCGCGCCCGCGGCCCGCACTTCCCGTCACCCGCCCGGCTTGCCTGTCACTGCGGCTGCAGCGGCGGCGGGAGGAGTCGCGGCGGGAATGTGGTGACGTCAGCGGCCGAGGGCGGGGCCCGCGGGGCTGGGTGGTCGCCCCGCCTTCGGTTCGAGCCCCCGCAGCCCACCTCCAGCTCCAGAGCCTGCAAGCCGCGCCGAGCTGGCGCCGGGTTCATTCACCGAAAAGTTTCATCCAGAGCCGATTTTATGAGCTGCGTGATACGAGAGTCCTCTTCCTGCGTGGGAGGAGGGAGCTGAGGCTGGGAAAGGCTCGAGTGCCCGATGCACGCAGCAGAGCCTTGTCATCTCTTGGCCCAGGACTGCGTGAGGCATCCCGCCGCCCTATCTGTGTGATGATCCCCTGAAATCAGGGACGGTTCCTCTTTCTCTGTGTCTGGTCACACTGACGTTCGTTAAGGCAACTGGCTGAGTTCTTAGAGCAGAACGTCAATTTGTCCCATTATTGGTTAGGTTCACGTTGATTACTCAGTACAGGTGGAGCCTGTTTTCTCCACAGTAAAGTTGCCATTTTCTTTGATAATTAATATAGGTATTGAGACAACAGATTGTGTGCCATGTGCCTCAAACTCTCATTGCAATTATTTTTGGTTTTGTTTTTTTAACTGTAGCCCATCCGACTTCGAATTCTTGTGTAGCAGAGGCTGGCTTCAAACTAGTGACCTTTTTCAAAAATAGAGTATCTTTTTTTTTTTTTTTGGTTGTGTTTTTGATTTTCAAGACAGCGTTTCTCCATGTACCCCTGGCTGTTCCTGGAATTCATTCTGTAGATAAGGCCAGCCTCAGATTCACAGGAATCCGTGTCCCTCTGCCTCTGGGGTGCTGGGATTAAAAGCATGCACTGCCACTGCCCCGTGAATACCTCTTTTATTCTTTGACAACTTTATACATACAAAATAATGCATTTTGATCATATGCACCCCCTCGCATATCTCACACCTCCCAGGTACGCCCCAACAATTCCCCTCCCCCTTTATATCCTCTCCTTTTTTGTGTTAAGAACCCACTAATTTGTGCCGGTCCTCACAGCTGCAGTAAGTTTGTGGTTGATGTCAGCCCGGAGCAGCATTTCTCGCATCCTCATCCCTCATCCTCTGGGTCTTCTGCTCTTCCCTCCTCCTCTTCCCTCCTCCTCTTCCTTCCTCCGCTTCCCTCCTCCTCTTCCACAATGTTCCCTGGCCCTTAGCTGGTGATGCTGACACAGGCATCCCATTTGGGGCAGGTCACTTAACAGCCACTTAAAATTCTCAGCACGTTGAGTAGTTATGAGTCTGCACCAGCAGCTAACCACTGCAGAGAGAAGATTCTCTGGGCAAAGTTGAGAGCAACACTAACTCATGGGTATAAACATAAGTATTTAGAAGGCAACAGTAGTAAATTCCCTCTCCAGTCAGTGACCTCCTGGTGTCTAGTTTACACTACCAGGTATGAAATGTAACTGGTCTTTGCTACTTTGTGGGTTCTTCTTTTTCTTACTCTTTATTCACCACCCCCTATTACTAGATAGGAGGGGGGAAGGGTCTGAATCTAATTTTGTTGTCCTTGTTTCTTCTTTGAGCACAAACTGCAGCCATTCTCCCTGAACACTGGCCCCACCTAGTTATATAACCTCTCTACATTTGTATAACCTCAGAAAAGGTCCCAGAATTCCAAACATCACACAGTTGTAAAAACTGTCTGCAGCTGGCAAAACCATGCCTCTGCTGGAGCACCAGACAAATCAGCTACTATGACTGTGGACTGGGATTAAAATGAAAACATAGTCTTAAAATAGTTCTGTGGTTTTTTTTTTTTGTTTGTTTGTTTGGTTGGGTTTTTTTTTGGTTTTTCGAGACAGGGTTTCTCTGTGTAGCCCTGGCTGTCCTGGAACTCACTCTGTAGACCAGGTTTTTTTGTTTTTGTTTTTGTTTTTTTAAAAAAAGCCAAGCCGGGCAGTGGTGGCACACACCTTTAATCCCAGCACTTGGGAGGCAGAGGCAGGCAGATTTCTGAGTTCGAGGCCAGCCTGGTCTACCGAGTGAGTTCCAGGACAGCCAGGGCTACACAGAGAAACCCTGTCCCGAAAAACCAAAAAAGAAAGAAAGAAAGGAAGGAAGGAAGGAAGGAAGGAAGGAAGGAAGAAAGAAAGAAAGAGAGAGAGAAAGAGAGAAAGAGAGAAAGAGGGAAAGAAAGAAAGAGAAATCTGCACTGAAGAGCAGGCCTCAAATCCAATCCAAAAACAATTGGTTACCCCATAATGTTCATGCCACTACTACACCATTGAGAACTTTAGGTTTTTGAGTCAGGGTTTCATTGTGCAGCTCTGGTTAGCCTTGAGCCTGCTATGTAGACCAGGCTGTCCTCAAACTCACAGAGATCCATCTGATTCTGCTTCATGCATGCTTTTTTTAAAAAAAAATATTTTTTAAGTTATATACATGTATATATGTATGTGTGTCTGTGTATGGGTAAGTGCATATATGTGCAGGTACCTGTAGAGACCAGAGCTGTAAGATACTATGTATCTAGATACATAGTAGCTAGAGTTACAGGAGGATATAAGCTGTCCCATGTGGGTGCTAAGAACTGAGTTCTGGTCTCCTGCAAGAGCAGCACATTCTCTTAAGGACTATCTATCTTTCCAGCCCCAGTGGGATGCCTGGCAGGTTGATATTATAGCATAAAAGATGCCTATAAGGCTACTGTTGATGTCTTTTCCACCCCAGCAGCCTGAGCAGCACCTTATAGTACTGCAAAAGTTCCGTGCCATGAGCATAACTACTAGCTCAATGAAGAAAGGAGGCATACCATCACCGAAAAGGCTTCTTGTACCCTTTCTCAGCCAGCTTCTATTTCAGCCCACTCCCAGGACACCAGCACTCTGCTTTCTGTTACGAGGGAGTGCTTCCCTCATCAGCTCATCCCTGTCATTTTTACTTTTTAAAAGATGTATTTATTTTATTTATATGAGTTCACTGTAGCTGTCTTCAAACACACCAGAAGACGGCATCAGATCCCATTGCAGATGGTTGTGAGCCACCATGTGGTTGCTGGGAATTGAACTCAGGACCTTTGGAAGAGCAGTCAGTGCTCTTAAATGCTAAGCTATCTCTCTAGCCAGCCATTTTTATTTTTAAAAGAGCCGTGTATTTGGGCTGGAGAGATGGCTTAGAGATTAGGAGCACTGGGTGCTTTCTCAGATGACCCAGGATCAGTTCCCAGCATCCGCATCAGGTGGCTTGCAGCTCTAATTTCAGGAGATCCAGTGTCTTCTCCTGGTCTCCATGGCATTGCATGTACATGATACACATACAGACATTCACACACACACATAAATAATTTAAAGATTTGTTTTATGTGCATTAGTGTTTTGCCTCATGTATGTCTGTGTGAGGGTGCCAGATGCCCTGGAACTGGCGTTACAGACAGTTGTGAAGTCCATGTGGATGCTGGGAATTGAACCCAGGTCTGGAAGAGCAAGCAGCCAGTGCTCTTAACTGCTGAGCCATCTCTCCAGCCCCCTAAATAAAAAAATAAAAAAATAAACTTTTTGAAAGTATCATTTGTGTAGCCGGGCGGTGGTGGTGCACGCCTTTAATCCCAGCACTCGGGAGGCAGAGGCAGGCGGATTTCTGAGTTCGAGGCCAGCCTGGTCTACAGAGTGAGTTCCAGGACAGCCCGGGCTATACAGAGAAACCCTGTCTCGAAAAACCAAAAAAAAAAAAAAAAAAGAAAGTATCATTTGTGTGTGTGTTCACAGACCAGAAGAGGCCAGTGTCCTGTCACTCAACTCATCATCTAACCTTTAAAGCAAGGTCGCTCACTGAGTCTGAGCTTTGCCTCAACAGAAGTTATTTCTGGTTGTCACTGTACAAGTCTTCTTCTTCTTCTTCTTCT